ACTCCAAAAAGTGGTCCTCCCCAGTTGCGTTGAAGCTTGCTGCTTGAACAAAACCCAACTTTCATTTATTTAATTTATTTGCGTAATGTAAGAGCTTCGTGTTTCGAGCAGATCGCAAGGTTCCACACTGCCAAAAATGGGATTGCCACGCGCTACCGCTTTTCGCTTTGGACAGGGCCATTTCGAGGCTGTTTTCAATTTCTATTTTAATAGCAGGCGAGACCAAAAACGGGCGCGCAAAATCCACGCGTTGGAGCGTGTGGCAATCCTGTTTTTGGGGTTGCGACATGACGCTCGGAACGCACACAGCTGCTTCAAAAGTTCGCCAGAAAACATTAAACCACAAAAGGCAGGAAGGATGACACAAACATCCACGTGCTGAACTGGGGAGGACCGCCTTTGGGAGTCCAAATTCTATATACCTTTCCAACCCCAAAAATGGGCATGAAACAAATCGAACAGTTCAGTGGCATCATCTTGCACTTCTTGCGGTTTCTTGCGGAGTCGTCTGGAGTCGCAAAGTTGGAACTCTTTCAACCCTTTCCACATTGTAAATGGGGTTTCAGCAGGTGTACCGACTCCGCCCGACTCCGGCAAGACACCGCAGCTAAAGACATCAAAACTGGCACAAAACTGTGGTAAAACGGAAGTTTTGCATCTCCAGCCTTCTTACGGAATCTGCTGGAGTCATGAAATCGAAACTCTTCCCCCAATGCAAACAAAGGATTCATCCGGTTTTATATATATACTATTATTCTTTAACCGGATGATACTGAACTCCGGGCGACATACACGACCCGACCCGCAAAGTTGCCGCGTTAGGAGTCTAGGGGGGCGAAGGGGGGGAGCCCAAAAACAAACAACGCATCAAGAGACCAAAACAAAACTGAGCAGTGCAAACGCAAACACAGAAAAAGCATCCCGCCAGCAATGTCGCAGCGGAATCAGCACCTCACCCACGCCATGTTGCGAAAGCCTGCGACAACAACACCCAACAATTCCAAACAACATGATGCTTTGGCAAAGACTGGCGACATGCAGGCGGGGCTAGAGACCTTCAATCAGCAACCGTGTTCCCCGGAATCCTGCCATTCCGTTACACTTGCAAAAGTATTGCTTTTTGGTAAAGCTGCGCCATTTTTCGCGAAAAAGGTCACTGCAGCAATCTCATTTTCGAGGCCGTAAACCCATTGGCTTTTTGGACTCCAAAAAGTGGTCCTCCCCAGTTGCGTTGAAGCTTGCTGCTTGAACAAAATCCAACTTTCATTTATTTAATTTATTTGCGTAATGTAAGAGCTTCGTGTTTCGAGCAGGTCGCAAGGTTCCACACTGCCAAAAATGGGATTGCCACGCGCTACCGCTTTTCGCTTTGGACAGGGCCATTTCGAGGCTGTTTTCAATTTCTATTTTAATAGCAGGCGAGACCAAAAACGGGCGCGCCAAATCCACGCGTTGGAGCGTGTGGCAATCCTGTTTTTGGGGTTGCGACATGACGCTCGGAACGCACCCAGCTGCTTCAAAAGTTCGCCAGAAAACATGAAACCACAAAAGGCAGGAAGGATGACACAAACATCCACGTGGTGAACTGGGGAGGACCGCCTTTGGGAGTCCAAATTCTATATACCTTTCCAACCCCAAAAATGGGCATGAAACAAATCGAACAGTTCAGTGACATCATCTTGCACTTCTTGCGGTTTCTTGCGGAGTCGTCTGGAGTCACAAAGTTGGAACTCTTTCAACCCTTTCCACATTGCAAATGGGGTTTCAGCAGGTGTACCGACTCCGTCCGACTCCGGCAAGACTCCGCAGCTAAAGACATCAAAACTGGCACAAAACTGTGGTAAAATCGAAGTTTTGCATCTCCAGCCTTCTTACGGAATCTGCTGGAGTCATGAAATCGAAACTCTTCCCCCAATGCAAACAAAGGATTCATCCGGTTTTAAATGTATACTATTATTCTTTACCGGATGATACTGAACTCCGGGCGACGTACACAACCCGACCCGCAAAGTTGCCGCGTTAGGAGTCTAAGGGGCGAAGAAGGAGGAGCCCAAAAACAAACAACGCATCAAGAGACCAAAACAAAACTGAGCAGTGCAAACGCAAACACAGAAAAAGCATCCCGCCAGCAATGTCGCAGCGGAATCAGCACCTCACCCACGCCATGTTGCGAAAGCCTGCGACAACAACACCCAAACAATTCCAAACAACATGGTGCTTTGGCAAAGACTGGCGACATGCAGGCGGGGCTAGAGACCTTCAATCAGCAACCGTGTTCCCCGGAATCCTGCCATTCCGTTACACTTGCAAAAGTATTGCTTTTTGGTAAAGCTGCGCCATTTTTCGCGAAAAAGGTCACTGCAGCAATCTCATTTTCGAGGCCGTAAACCCATTGGCTTTTTGGACTCCAAAAAGTGGTCCTCCCCAGTTGCGTTGAAGCTTGCTGCTTGAACAAAACCCAACTTTCATTTATTTAATTTATTTGCGTAATGTAAGAGCTTCGTGTTTCGAGCAGGTCGCAAGGTTCCACACTGCCAAAAATGGGATTGCCACGCGCTACCGCTTTTCGCTTTGGACAGGGCCATTTCGAGGCTGTTTTCAATTTCAAGTTAAATTGGTGGCATCTGGCCCCAAATTGGTGACATCTGGCTCCTGGCCAAGATGGTGCTCCACTACCATGGTGATTACTATAAACTTTGCCAGCACAGTCTTACACAGTAGCATGCTGACAGCCATAGGCTCTATGCTGCAAGCTTTGCCAGCACAGCCTTACACAATAGCATGCTGACAGCCAGAGGCTCTATGCTGCAAGCTTTGCCAGCACAGCCTTACACAGTAGCATGCTGACAGCCATAGGCTCTATAACTTTGCCAGCACAGCCTTACACAGTAGCATGCTGACAGGCATAGGGTCTATGCTATAGTTTTGCCAGCACAGCTTTGCCCCCTAGCATGGTGACAGCCAACGCCTTCGAGCCAAAAAAAAAAATGTTTTCCAGACAGGAAAACCAATTGCGCCACATTCTATTCTTCCTTGTATGTATATATTATAGATATATAGATATATATGTGTTTGTTTAGTTTTATCATATTTCTATGTGGGATTGTATGGGTCTACTACCATCACATATTGGGAACCCCAGGTGAAACCCACAAGCAGCATCCGATCTATCCTGCAGCCATTAGCATTTATTATTATCTTTTTTGGGATATCTTATGTAATTATTTTCCAAATTTCAGAGTAAGCTACCCTTTCAATGTGAAGAATGACTGCAGGACCAACATCCCAGATGCCCTGGGGTGGGGGTTGGGGGGCGGGGGGGGTCTCGCACAGGCAAGACGGAAGCTACACCGACCAGTGCCACTTTGCACCTCAGGCGCGAGCAGCGCCAGGGGACCAAGGAATCGGATAATGACACCGAACCCCTGTGGGCAAGTTTTTTTTGGTATCATCTAAGATCATCTAACTTACCAATTTGGCAGATGTGTGCAGCAGTCATATGTTATTATATGTTCAACCCTTTTTCTGCTTCCAAGTTTTTTTTGGGTTGCTGCCTTCATTTGCATGATTACAGCAACGCATGTTGTTGACATTTTGCTACATTTGGAACACTTGTTCGTATGGCAGGCACACGTCCTGGCACAGTGAGGTGCAACCACCCCCCTGCTGCTGCTGCTCTGGAGTGCAAACATGTTTTCAAAAAAACAAGTTCAAGTTTGAAAATGCTTTTGACACGGCGCAACATGTTGCAACCCCTCTGTTTTAGATTTCAAAGATCAGGGCCGTGAAGGCCAGGCATGGATCTGGCAGCCCTGCTAAATGGACGGGCGGGCAGGGGCGGGAAGCCATGCCGGAAACGGCCAGCGTCTGCTGCGCCGGCCAAGGGCCAATTGAAGAAACAACCAGCTGCAGCAATGGGGGCCAGAAACCCTTCACCTCCCAATGATGACCTTGAAGTAGTTCTGTTTCTTGTCCAAAAAGGTTTGGTCCAAGTTCAAATGACATTTTACCCTTCCATTGCATGAGATGTTAATGAAAATTGGTTTGGCCAAGTTACATTGCATCATGTTGTGGATGAGTCAGCCACACTTTCCATGCTGCTCAGGCCATCTTTTCCGCCGTACCCTCTTCCAAGAACTGCGCCGCAGCTATCGTTTCGAAGTAGCATTCACACATATTCACACTTGTTTTTTATCATTGAACATGTTGGATGTTTGTTTTATTTTCTGATTAGTGTTTATTATCCATTTCCTGCACACATCTTGCCAAATCATTAGCGCAACCCTAGGCTTTGGGCTTTTGTGTTGCTCGAGCGCGTGGCTATACTATGCGGAGAAGGATTTCTGAAAAGAAAATTGAGTACTTGGAATGCAAACCAACATTGTATGTTCAACATATTAAACAATTCGTTGTATTTTTTCCCAGCCCTGGTACCTCTTAGCTGTTACTACCATATCCTTCACCAATGCCACCATACTTAGGTACTGTGAAGTGGAACTGTTTTGACTTATTTGGCGGCGCTCTTTGTGTGCGACGGGCATGGGAAATGATTTCAGTTGCAGCAGTGGAAATGTGGGGCGTGGTAACAGGCCTTACGTTCACATTCAATGTCCCTCAGATGTATTGAAGTGGGTAATATTTGATAGGTCTGTGTGGGCCAATTTCAGGCACAATCTCCATTGATCAAAAAAGGTACCCATTTATCCTGTATACCCATCAGGCATGTAACATCTATTATTCAATTAACATCCATTAAACAACTGCAATCTCCATTGATCAAAAAAGGTATATAACAATTCCATTGTATCCTGTATACCCATCGGGCATGTAACATCTATTATTCAGTTAACATCCATTAAACAACTGAACCGTTACCTTCTGCAATGAACTATATTTGTGGCTACCAAAAATTAGAGCCCAACAAGTTGTGAACCAGAATGACACGTTTCCTGAATTAGGTATCAAACAAACATCTCCCATCCAATTTTGATGTAGCCAAGGTGGAGAAGAACAATGCCTGTGCAAATTTCACCATGGGTCACTATCCCGACAGCTGCCATTTTCGAGATATTCTTGATTTGGTCCAGAACCCACCGGAGAATGGACCCTGGTCTCCGTCAAAGCTTACACTGGTGAAAGAGGCATACTGTGAGCAACACCACATGATGTGTTTTGATTGCAACACCAAAGATTTTTTTAATTCCAACTGTTTTCATCCCCCTATTTTGGATTCCACACATTTTCATCCACTAATTTTGGGAATCCACAAATTACAACCACCAATTTTGGGTCTCCACAAATTATCACCACCAGTCTGGGGCGTCCATAAGTTATCACCACCAATCTGGGTATCACCCCCAATTTTAGGATTCCATAAATTATCACTGATTCATTTCCTTTTGCCGGTACCAGCCACCATGTGATGAGGTGCCCATTGGGACTCCAGGCAGGCTCTGAAGATGATTGTGGTTTGCTGGGAGCTCCTTGCATACTGTGGTCCAAGTACACTTAGCAGCACTACCCCTTGGAATTCCTTTGAACATGTTGGAATCAACCCTGGGATGTCATCAAATCTTTAAACTTTTTGTTAGAGGACAATGCCAGCACCGAATCTAAGGTATGGGAAAAAGGAAGGATTCGCCAACTCTGTTGTCAAACGTTTGCATGATGTTGGGACACGCTTCCAACAGAAATGTCCAGTATCAGTGCATGAAAATGTACCGGAGTATGAAGAGGCGGGGCCATTCAGCAGTGAAACATATTTGATATGTGCAGCAGGTAACAAGCAGTCTTCCCAAGCTTTTTCAATTTAGTGTCAACCTTAAAAAATGCGAGGACTACTTGGATGAAAATCTCAAATCACACACCGTCAGTGTGCACAGTTCAATCCTCAGGGATGAAGTTCGGCAAATCCTAGCAGAAGTTTCCAAACCTCATGGGCCAATCAAACCGCTATGCCAAGGCTTCACCCCAGGATGTTCGGCCACCCGAATTCCCGACCGAGATCATGGAGGATTTGTTTCCACAAGGACAAGAAACATTGGGCTTCCAAGTATTCCCTTGAGGAACTTGCTGGAATTCTGCTTGTGGGAAAGGACACCCCAGTCCCACTGAACTATGAATGCTATTTGTTTGAACTGCGAAATGCAAATGGTGCTCTTACAGAAGACCAGTTGACCAAGCCACTAGTCATGGATTTTTCTAAAACAATTTTGCTTTTCAAACTGCTGTTAATCCAATTAACATTTCCATATGAGCACACCGAACCGTATTTGAGGTCCCATGCGCATCATCTGGAGAAGTTTCGTCGAGCTTGCCCAGAGAAAGGCCTTTATGATTTGTCAGCGAATGTTGACAAGCGCAAACGTGTGGAACTGAAAGACAGGACCGAGATTTCTTCCAAGATTTTGTTTCCAACAATCACCAAGTTTTTTCCACATTACAAATTGGTGGCAGGACACTGCCATGCCTCACAACTAGCTCCTACTTCTGGCTACTTGCCGCATTTGATAAACCAAGATGAAACTCTGGTAACATTGCCTTGTTTCATTACCACTTATGAATGCATAGAAAAATCAAATTTCTTGCAACAGTGCTGCATGAACCAACTAGAGCATAGGCTAGTAAACCGCTTGGCCCATGCCCGAGGTCTGAACCAAAGGGTCGGACTATGACTGGTCGGGAGCATCTGCATGCTCTTGGATACCCGTGTTGGGGGCCAGGTGCCGCAGCAGCTCGAGTGGATCCCCAACTGCATTGATATAATAATGAGTATGTATATATATATATATACATATTGATGATCTTATATATTAAAGCTCTTATTACAATCATAAATCATAAATCATATTCATAACTTTAAATATATATATATATATGTATGTGCATTTGGGCTTTAATGTATACATGCTGTTTGCATATACACATTTGCGTATTAATTATAGGATCCCAAAAATGTTTCTGGATTATGTATGTAAATATATATATATATATAAATATTGAAATATGTTTGCAACAAATACACACATGAAACTAAATATGTTTATAGTTACAATCCAGGAACTATTGGTATGCATATCTATATATATGTCACTATATCTACATGTAAATGTATTTGTAAAAATAGCTCAAAACATTTATATGTATATATACATATTGATGCATATCTGTTTGGATATATAGTTATAGCTGTATGTGTGGGATGGGCCGTTCTGTGACCAAATTCCGGGTTAAAGTTACCCAAAAAAACATCCAAATTCATCTATTTAGCGGTCATGTCAGACCCCTGGTTGCATTATGTTTTTGGTCGGCAAATGCAAGGTTACCCACAAATTCATTTGAGAATCATCTATCTCTGATTTCTTTCCTATCTGAATTTTGATTCCACATTACCAAATGCTGTTTTGGCTAAGGACCCCATTGATACTTCAGAAGTTCGAGAGTCTGCCCTGCGATCTATGGCGGGCAATGGCATGAGCCTACCCTGTGCCGGCTTTACTCTTTTGATGGCCGTTTTGTTTGTAGAAGATAAATAGAGTGAAAGCTAATTCGATGATGCCATATGATATCAACAGGCTTTGCATCGACAATGTTGAAAAATGGTGCGTGTCATCTCCGTTTCTCACCAAGTGCTGTTTGTACATTCAACATATAAACCAGACCAGATTTAATGGCATCTTAATAGCAATTCAACATAAAAACCAGACCAAATTTAATGGCATCTTAATGGCATATTAATCAGACTATGTGGACTACAAATTGGAATAGGTGCCAACCATTCTGACCAATCACCAACTCTGGGGCTCGAGGCTAGATGCCACCGTTTGCACCAGAACCTGCCGAACAGAGGCGGCGTGCTGTAGTTTTTTTGGAGCAATGTCTTCAGGATCCAACTGTTTCTACTCCATCAACCCCTAGATTGTTTGGGGCAGAGTCAGCTGAAGGAGGAGGTAAACGGCCAAACAGGCAGTTGAACCCTTCCAAGAATTCCCATTTGAAAAGGCAACCTGCCCCCGGCCCATTTCAAGATGAAGGGGAGGAACAGCAGGGTGTTCCCAAAAGGGTGAAGACTCCAGCTACTAGTTTGGTTCCCTTTCAATCAGAAGCTGCAGAAGATGATTTTGTTTGTGAAACCGATTCGTCTGATAGCAATTGTGGTGACCAACGGCCTAAAGACACAGTTTTTGCACTGGGGTGGCAAAGTGCTCAACAGTTTACTGCCAGTGGCTTTTGGAAAGAGAATGCCGATGAGGTGACAGAAAGACCCAAACGTGCTTATGACAACACTAGGCGAAAAGCCGCAGCTGCATACTCTAGACAGGGTAAAGAAGGCTTTTACAAGGCAAATGGGATTGACCAAAACCGTTTGGAGAAGTTGTTTGAATCCCCGTCTTGCAGCTGTGCCTAGATTCAACTTGCAGAAAAAGTTTGTTTTTTTTGAAAAATGTTGGCGTGTTTATACCTATGATGATTACACTATATTTTTGCATTTGCATTGCATTAAGATTTTCATCAAGACAAACCTGTGCTCCATACCAAGGTGCATTGAAAGATTGCTATCGACAGTACAAGGGATCAAAGGACTTTAAGGCCTTCTTAGAGAAATTCTGGAGCCTCAACAAGAGGGACCAAGATTCTTTGGATCTTTGGCCACATATTTATACAAACATTTTTTTAAAACCCGATTCCACGTCATAGAACCAGGGACAGCCAATTTCAAACCACGCCATGCCTTCTCTTCAGTCGGCTGAGGTTCAGCAGGCTGGAAGCACTGCCTCCGGGTGCGAGCTGCTCGAGAAGAAGGTTGGTAGCAAGTGCCTAACCAGTCTTTTGGGGATCGGAACCCATAGACTTCGCCGCCTACAAGGTGGTGGCCCTGATTTGCGTTTTGGTCAGAGGGAATACAAGAGCAAACCAGGGACGTGGACAATAGATTCATTCCTGCAAACTGCATACAACAACATTGCAGAGACATTGCCAGACCAGTTCCTTCTCTACAATGTGTTATTCTGTTGTTTTTTTAATGATGGGAAATGTATGGTTTTGGGATGTGCAGTTATTCTTCAACTGGTAGGTCTCTGAACATTATTTAGGGGGTTATTATATATGTTCCTGACGTTCAATTGGGTCCACATAGGTTTATCCGAAGAGGTCGCGCTTGCAAGCCCAAAGCCCCAACTGACCTGGATGACGACACTGCTTATTCTGAGTTTGAAATCAGTTCTGACATTGACAACACTGATGAGTTGGGAGAATGGTTGTCTACACGGTCTACTGGCCACCTGACCCAAATTCTTCCTGGCCAGTCTTTGATTCGAAAGTATCTTCCTCCTGGAACAGTTGCTGATTTGTACGAGCACTACAAAAGCAGCCAACAGATGTTAGGTCAATATGCTGCATCGTTTCTTGATGGAAATTGGTTATTTGCCAAAACCGCTTTTCCATAATTGCTTTTAACCATACTGGTAAATTCCCACTTAGGTTGGTTCACCAAAAAAGGCCCCCACAAGTCCCCCAAAAACCGTGCACGGTTTTCCCTACATTTTATGAAAGATTTTGGGACTTGTGGGGGGCCTTTTTTGGGGGACCAACCCAAGTGGAAAATTAGCAAACCATACCAAACATAGTCCCCATGTTTTTTATTAACATCACTGGAGGTTAAGTACCTTCCTTGGAGGTGACAACAGAAAGAAAGCATTATACCGATTGCCTATGGCTGGTTTAGAATTTCCCATTACTTGGTTCTCGGCCAAGGTATTCGACTTTCAATCACGTGTACCAGATGAGGTGGAAAGACATCTTACGCTTCCGCCAAAAGACTATGTTTACACAATGTGAAGTTTGCCAGACTCTGAAGTCAGACCTATCTGACAGGACCTTGAGTTTCAACCAAAAGTTGGGTGCCCTTCAGCTCTACAGGCAGCACCTCCACGATCAGTATTGCGACAGGACAGTGTGTTGGCGCCTCCAAAGTGAAAGCGCTGACCCATCATCGGGCGTGGTCACCATCTGCACCGATGGCCTTGACCAGGCCAAATTTGGCTTGCCAAGGGACCCCCAGTTACGGTCATCGGCTGCACTGACCCTGGGTGTAATTCAATAAAATTGTATGTACCCAAGAAATAATTGGGGATGGATTCCAAATCCTTTTTCAAAAAATCCCAGGAGTCCCGAAAAATGGTCTTACTAGGGAATAAAAGTACCAACTTGGTTATGATGGGGTTCATCCAATATGATATCAAACTCTGGGTTGTGACAAATGTATTCACCTCCTATTGGCTCGGATATATCCATTGTATCAATCCATGGGACATTGGGGTTTTAATATTTCGAAAGCCTTGCATATTTGGAACGCCCCATACATTTGGAAAATTCAATTTTTCGATACAGATTTCCATCTATTAACTGTAATGAGTCATACATACACAAATATATATATATATGAACATATCTATATATGTATACATATATGTATATATGTATATATAAATGTATATATATATATATGAATATATATGTATATATATATATGTATATTTATTTGTATATGTATATGTATATGTATATACATATGTGTATATCTCTATATATATATACATGTATATCTATATATATGCATCTGTATACATATATGTAAAATTACATATATATATATAATATTTGTGGATTTGTGTAAATATTTATGTATATATTATACATGTGTATATATTTTTGTATTTATATATAGATAAACTTATATATATATATATACTTATTTATTCTTGTGTGATTTCTATCCATACTTTCCTCTTCCCTGTTTGGTTGGCTAAGGGCGAAACATATCCGGCCCCGGTTGAAAATTCATGGGGCTTGGGCCTTCGGATACTGTTGCAATATCTTTGCTATCGATGAACCTGGAAGACACAATTCCTCTTGCATAATGGAAATTTTGGCGCAAACAATGGATGATGCCACTTGCCTATATGATAAAACGTTTTTCGCTTACTGTCACCGAATGGATTTCCAACAGAAAATAATTCACCAATTTTATGAAGAAATGTCTTCTGAAATCTCCCCCCTAAAATGGGTCTTTTTTTTCAATCAAACCTTCCTAGTTGTTAGTAGTCTGTTCCATCTGCATTTCTTTGCGGCCACCAGGTTTTCCGAATCTGTCGGCATCAGGGC